GGGCCCACAGGGCCCCAGCCGCAGCCCCTCACCCCACGCTGCCTGCTGCCCGTCCCCAGCGCAAACACTCCGGCCTCAGCTGCCTGCCGGGGAAATCCCTTCCCGCAGAACCCGACCGCAGCCCAGCTGCTCAGCTCCCCACGTCAGCACCCTTCACTCACAGCCTCCCCGCCCGCCCGGCGCTCCCTCCAACCTTAACCCCTTCCGCTGGGGCCGCGGCTTTACCGGAACGGGCAGCTGGCACAGCCGCAGCCTAGCCCCCCGCTTGACACCGGCGGGGGAGGGCGGGGGCCAAGTCCGAGTCCCCAAGGAAGCAAAGGTGGGGTCTGGACTTGCAGGGCAGCTGTACCCCCACAAGACTAGGGACCAGGGAGCTCGAAATCCTGCTGGAGGGCAGTGCAAGCTTTGAGTCTCAGAGGGCAGAAGTTGGAGCACCAGTTTCCTTCATCCTGGGGGAGGGGGTTAAGGAACAAGCTCAGGGGCAGCTTGGCAACCAGGCATTCAGAGAAGCCTTAGCAGGAACAGCTACATTGTAATTTGCAGGGCTCTTTGGTCAAAAATTAAGAATTGCAAGCCAGGCTTCACATCTGTCATCCCATCACTCTGGAAGGCTGAGGCAGGAGGATGTCGTGTTCACGTCTAGCCTGAGCAACATTTAGTTACTGTTTTTATTGCCCTCAAAAATGATTTTTTTAAATTTAAATTTAAAAAAAATTGGGCGCAGGGGATTTAACTCAGTGGTTCTACCACCTGCCTCAGAAGTGCAAGGTCCTGTGTTCAATCCCCATACCCTTCCCAAGGAAAAAAAAATTTTTTTTGAGACTGAGTCTTGCTGTGTAGTCCAGGCTGGCCTTGTACTCACAGTGATCCTCCTGCCTCAGCCTCTCGAGTGCTGGGATTACAGATGTGCACCACCACACTCTGCTAAATTAAATTTTTTAAAGGACTGTGGATGTAGTAACTCAGTGGGAAGGCCCTGGGTACTGAGGGGGAAAAAAAGAAAAGAAAAAATAATTTCAAGACAGTGACAACAGCAAGTTAAACTGGGCGTCACAGACACCAGAGTGGTGGTTCACATGGTCCATATATTTACAATTGCAGAGTAGTCGCATGAATCTGGTCTTGTGTGAGGTGGGGACCTTGGAGGTCCAGGTCCCCAAAGGGGCAAGTATTAGGACACTGTCTCCCTGGACCACCAAAAGGACAAGGAAAGAAGGGTTAGCGTGGTGACCTAGCGCTCACAGGAAATGGGGAAGTCCTGATTCTTATGGAAGATCAGGGATCCCAAGAGATCTTGGGGTGGATGCCAGGACATGGGGCACTGGGAGCCAACTGAAGTCTGAACCCTGTGGAGTGGAGTTCCTGAGGGCCCACACTCGCTGGAGGGAGACCTTGGGCTTCTGCATCCCAACTTCAAAGGCGCTAGGGCTCCTGGGGCTCCCCCCACGAGACACACGTTGGGGTGCCGGGGGTGGCCGCGTAGATCCCCGGCGGGACAGGCTTCCCTCCCCCGGGAGCAGGAAGCGGAGCCCCGCCCCGC